GAACATGTTGATCCGTCGAAACCAAGATCTTCGCCCAAGAAATACAAGTGAAAGCCGTAGGATTCGACATCATCTGGCACCCGATTGATTTTCCTAAGCTGCACTGCCCGAGACTTTCTGCCTGCTTTTGGGTTCCCAACATTCCGAGGTTCGACAAGCTGGACTTTCCACATGTCGGTCTGAGGTGCCCATGGCTTTCGAAGGAGCCTTTTTGGTAAGTTTCGCAAAAAATCCTCGGATTTCCTTCGCGCTGAGGCCATTCAGTCGGCATCAATTCACGCGCAGCCATGGGCTGTAGGGTTTCTTCCACTTACGCGCCTACGACCTCGATTCCGGTTTGCATCCCACATTGCAGAGACCCGCCTGCTCAGGTCCCGGCTCTTGCGAGGCAACTAACGAGACTGAGCACTGAGTTCGTGTTGATTGGAGGCATAGGGACCTCCAATGGGTCAAATCGATTCTCGGTGTCGCGCAACTGGTCTTCTTCGGGTGATGGTTCTGATGCAGAAAACAATCTTTCGAAAGAAAAGCTTCTGCGCGGGCAAAATTCTTCCATAAGATCACACGTTGGGAAAAAGCGATCTCCACATGCGGGAAATTTTTTGCTCTCTCACAGAAAATGATCTGGAATTGGATGCGAATGGTGTTAAATGGTCTTTTCTCTTCATTGGAAAGAACTCCGCTAGTGAGAAAATCTCAATTCCGGCCAATGCATTCTGGCATGAACGAACTTTTACCAGTTTCTTCTTTGTTTGTAGTATCGCCAGGGCTGGGCACAACGGGAAATAAAGAGACTTGGATCCGATACAAAGACCAAACAGGCTCGAATTTTTCTCACACTGACCATTTGCATCGCTGAAAATGCCGTTGTTCGCGCATCAAACATGATCTTCACTTTTTTGTTTCCGTGTGTTTTGCGTTTTCTGTGCGTGGTTGTGTGTTTTTTGTGGTTTGAGTGGTGTGTGCGTGTGCGAAGTTTCTTCTTTATTTGTTGTATTGACAGTGCCAGAACGGGAAATGAAGAGACTTGAACATTCTTTAAAATCAGCGATGTTTGAAAGAGGCACTTACCGACGATCCTGTACAAAGTATTATCGCAGCGATGTACACAATAAGGATATTAAAAACTTCGCAATCCGATATATTCAAATGAATCCAGCTCAATATACATATGACTCAATCAAAGGAGTAAAGCTCGAGGCTCAATGGTATTTCCTGTCAAATTAAAAGTTGGCAGCAGAGAAGGTCGCGCACTCTTTGTTTTCTCATCAGCGATCAGGGGTTTGAGCGAATTCTAATTCGGGAACCATGGCATCCGGGCCGCAGCCGATGCGAAGAGCACGGGCCTGAAGCCGCTCAGAGTTTGTTGCGAAGAGCACGGGCCTGAAGCCGCTCAGAGTTTGTCCCGAACACACCCCCCCACAGATGTCTGGGCTGGGCGGGCGGGGAAAAGTTTTAAAAGCTCAGCTCGAGCAGTCACTTCGTCACAACAAGGATATCATCTGAGATGCGAAGAAGCATGGACATGCGACAAAAATCTGTAAAGCATGCCAAATACTCTTCTTGAGGAATCCACCCAAAAAGGGGGGGAAAATTAACTCGCATAAAGTACCGTTGCCAAATGTCAAACACGGCCTGCGGCCTGTCGCCGATTTCAAAGAAAGAAAAGTCTGCAGGCAGAAAAGTTTCTTCTTTAAAATCAGCGATGTTTGAAAGAGGCACTTACCGACGATCCTGTACAAAGTATTATCGCAGCGATGTACACAATAAGGATATTAAAAACTTCGCAATCCGATATATTCAAATGAATCCAGCTCAATATACATATGACTCAATCAAAGGAGTAAAGCTCGAGGCTCAATGGTATTTCCTGTCAAATTAAAAGTTGGCAGCAGAGAAGGTCGCGCACTCTTTGTTTTCTCATCAGCGATCAGGGGTTTGAGCGAATTCTAATTCGGGAACCATGGCATCCGGGCCGCAGCCGATGCGAAGAGCACGGGCCTGAAGCCGCTCAGAGTTTGTCCCGAACACACCCCCTCGGATCGACGAACTCAGAGTCAATCAAAGATTGGTCAACAAAGTAAGGCTCTACCTCTGCCGCACGAACGACCTTCTGCGCTTTCCAACCTTCGCCCCTGGAGGGCCAGTCGTTTTTTTCATTCACACGCTTTAGTCGAGTCGACTATTCAGCGGGCGCTACGTACCCGTATCAGCAAGGTGATACAGGAACGGCCTGTTGAGGCACGCCGGACAACCTGCACAGCTGCTTGCCAGTCAAGCAGCGGCCGACTATTACGGCCACGAAAAGAAAGCTGTAATGCCACGTCCTACTATGCAGGTGGAAGTAGGATGTAAACTAAAGGAAGAGTTCCCCAGTGCCAGTTTACTCTGTCTACATGCACCTTGAGGCAGACTGTACAAAACACAAGGCGCAAAAAGTGGGGCTGTCCGACGGCACCCGAAGCGGAAGGGCCGACAGTCGGCACCCGAAGCACAGGGAAGAGCTCGTCCCTTCGACTACTCTGAAAAAGGGCTCCCACGCAAGCCCCGAAGGGCCAGACCGTCAAAGGCAGCTGTAGCAAAGGCGTTCTCGCTCTTACTGACTTGAAGCTACAGCACATCTGCCCGTTCTCAGAGCAATCGAAAGGAGTGGCAAACCCATGTCTTCGAGGGCCAAAGGCTTCAAGCAAGAAGTAGCCGCGGCTGCGACTCCCCTGACACACACGCTTTGGGAGTCCTGCTGACACCACGCTGTACAGGGTGTTGGCCAAAATGATGGTCGCCAGTGAGACCAGACTCTTCGGCAGACTTGCAATTGCCGGCAATTCCTGAAACACTGTTTGTCATCGAATGCAGTTGATGGGCCGGCAGTCGGCACCCAACAAGAAAAGGCCTGCAGTCAACAGGGCCGCTCTGCAGTACCCGAAAACAAGGGGCCGATATACGGCTCTTGAGACACTGTGAGAAGTGTTGGGCACGTCTCCATGTATAGCTGGTTGGGTCGTACGCAGAGGCCAGTAGCAAACCTGACCGGTATGCAGCTCGCGGAAGCAAAGGTGCAAGAGACGGCTTCTGTAGCACTGTGAGCAGAACCATTGCGTTGTCAAAGCTGCTGTATGGGCCGGCAGTCGGCACCCAACGCGTAAAGGCTTGCAGTAAACAGGGCCGCCTTGCAGCTCCCGAAACAAAAGAGTCAAGAGACTCGGGGCCAAGAGGTGTAACACGGCCCTTAGGAAGCAGAACGGCATTTTGGAGGGAAATCCTCGGCATTAGCTGCCCAAAACAAGGAGCTTCTGCCAAGAAGGCCCCCAATCGACGGAGGAGCCTCTGACTGGGTTTAGGAGGGGACAAATGTTGATCAAGACCCTGTACGTCTCCAAGTGCAGCTGAATGGGCCGAAAAACGGCTCTCCACACGGAAGGGCCTGTAGCTAACAGTACCGCAGCGAAGGCAAAGTGCTGCGCACTCCACAACGTCACCGGGGCCAACCAGAGGCACCCGCCATTGCAAGCACCAGGTGAAGGACCTCAAGAAACTTCTCTGAAAAGGAGCACCCGGAATCGAAATCGGAACCAAAACCTCCGCTGAGGAATGTCGCACCATATGCAACCTGCAAGGCCGGGTAGCACCCTGTTTAGACCAATGAGCGTGGGCGAGGTCTAAGCGAAGCTGTATGGGCCGATAAACGGCTTCCAACACTCCATCTCGACAAAGAAGTTCTTGCAAACCAAGGGGGCTACGACCCCTGCACTGAGTGCGACAAGTTGCTGCCTGGCGCCTGAACTGCAAACAGGGCCGACCTGCGGCTCCCGAACTCACGTGCCGAAACAACGACCTTTGTGGATGTTGCCAGTTGCTGCTCGGGCGAAGAAACCATAACAAGGACAACCATATGCGTAATACATGTAGGCTTGAAATTGGATCGCAAATCACCAGTACAGAGGAAGGCCCTCGAAGTCCTTCATGTCTGGGAGGGGCATGCCCATTTTCAAGTGTAGACTGTGAAAAAGCCCAAACAACTGACATCATCCCCATATAGGAGCTGTTGTACACCATGGGGGCTATGACCCCTGCACTGAGCGTCACGAGCCACCATCTGGCACTGCACGCTGGTCCAAATGCTGGTCGCCAAAGAGACCGGTTCGCGTCACTGCACTTGTAGCCGCAGGCAACCTTCAGTAAGTCACCTGTTGACAGAGAAGCACTGGTAAGGGACCGAAAGACGGCACACCTAGCAAAAGGCACGGTCACCGGACGTGGCATCCTGTTGCAATCCCGTGCAGTTGTCCGGTGTGTTGTCGCGCCACCCGCCATCTTCCCACCTCGGGAAGAACACGAGCTAGTATCGTGATGTGGTTTCCCCTCCGTGGGGGGCCCGGAGGGAACCCTCACGCCAGCCATCAAATTGCCTCGTAGCTCTTGTAAAACTGATGGCTCCCGGACTTGGGACCGGGACGAGCTGAAACAGAAGCTGGGCAGTAGCCTCCTCGCCAAGCTCTTCCGAAAACTGTTTGTCCACAAAGCTGCAATTCCCTCCAACAGGCTCCGAAAGCAGAGCGTTGTAAACCAAATAAAAATCACTGACGCCGTTCCAAACATGTCGGTGTGACTGGAGCAAAAGCTCTCCACTGCTAAAGTGTACTGCATAGGCTTGTCGCATTGCACAACTCGCCTCTTTTTCCCCTAAAGCAGCAGGCCTGCAGGTCCATGACCAAGGTGGCTCGCTTGGTTGCAGGAGCGAACAAGCAGTTGCATACGTCGCCACAGATTCAAAGATCCATGCCATGCAGATAGGTTGGAAATGCTTCGAGAGACCAAGTAACAAAAACATTGCGTAGTGTAGTCCATGCTTTCGGGATCTCCAGGAAGGGGCCGGCGTTCGGCATCCACGCGAGAAAACTTGTTGCGTGAAGGAGTCGTCAAAAACCATGTGCTTCGTGAGTGAAAAACCAAACATGCCGAAAATCACGGTTATGCAGCAACTTCCATGGCGAGGAAAACTACAACCCACCCCTAGGTTTGAGCCGCTCGTGGCGCTTGGAGGGCCACTCGGCGATGTTCGAAGAGGATGGCACCCTCTCTATCCACGAGATGCAAGGGGCGACGGCCTCGACCATAGACAAGGCCAGGGCCAAGCGATGCATCGCGTCACTTCTGCTTTGACCACGCAATACCACAGATCTAGCGGCATCGTTGTCAATGAAGAAAATGATTCTCTTTCCTGAAAGAAAATTCTGAAGGCAGGCCCTGATCATCAAGAGGGCATAAAGCTCTACCTCACAGATGATTTGCTCCCCGACCTCCTCTCGCCAGCGAACCACTAGGCGCTCAGGGACCTGTCCTTGGAAAACTCTGGAAACGCCGCTGCTCGCATCAAGAATCACTGCACCGATCCCGGCGAAGGCTTTGGCAGGCTCCCAAGCTCCATCAGTCCACACCAGGATAGGAGGCTCTCCTGTCGAATCGCAACTTATGAAGCGGGGCGGCGTGCTCACAAGAATTTTGATCGTGTGCTTGCACATCTCGCTGACGGTCTTTGGCGAAGGCCTGTCTCCAGCTAGAAAACCAGATAGCCATTTGCACGAGTGCTTGAGGGCACGACCGGCAAAGAAACCAGATGAAAAGTTGAGCAAGCCCAGCAAAATCTTAGCCTGATGAACCGTAAGGAAACCAGAAGCAGCCACAGATTCAAGCTTCTCCACGATCCGATCGATCCTGCCAGGTTTGTTCGAGAGGACGACGCTTCTCTTCGACAAGTTGCTCAAGTCAATCTGCATTCCCAAGACGGAGAAAACCTCCGCGAAAGGATGTGATTTGCTGCCTGTCTTGGCGTGGCCCCAGCCCAGAATGTCTAAGAATTCGCTGATGATGCCATCAGTGTCACTGGAAGAAAGCGACGTCGAAAACATCGGGTAGTCATCAAAGTACACTGAGCTGGGCAGCTTGAATATCTTCAGCAGCAGTTTGTGAAGGCTTCTGCTCGTGCGCACGAACCCATAAACCGAAGCAGTAAGACCGAAGAGCAGCGAATTTGCAATGAAGAACTGATCCTCGCCAGAGGGGCCTTTGTGGTAGATCACAGCAAGAGAGCGGTGCTCCTTCTTCATTGGCATCTGCTTGTACGCCTTCGACAAGTCAAGGCACTTGCCCAACCACGACCGAGGGGGCTCGCCCGTGGCGCGAGATCTCTCGGCCTCTTCGATGGCAATCCTTGCTGCTAGAGCTGCAACGAAGTCGGAACTCTGGAGCTCCAACTTGATGGTGGCCGTAAAGCAGTTGTTGATCAAAGCCTCGTGCCCGTCATCAATGGGTCTAGGTTTGTTCTCGGCTGCTTGAAGGATTAGGAACCTTCGTATGCAGTTCCAATCGTCTGAGTGAAAGAAAGAAGACACTTGGCTTTCGGTGTAAGGGCCTTCCAGGAAACCCAGATCGACTTCGTCCATAGTAGCCTTCGACAGCAACTCTTGAAGGTCGGCTGCCTGCGTGCCACTGGATCCAATCATCACCTTTCGGCGGAACGAAGCAGTACGCTTGAGATCCTGTTCCGACATGGTAGCCGGCACAATCTTTCGGCTGAAAGGCTGAGGGCAGGCTGACTGCCCGACAATCGGGACGCCTGACATCATGAAATCGCAAACTTGCATGTCGTCAAAACCGTTCTGCTCAAGAAGATGCTTCCACAGAAGAAGACGCTTTCCCGCCACAACCTTTTCGAACCAAGGGTCGAACGAAGAATGTAATCGAGCCTCGTCGGCCTCGAACTTTTTGGCAAGGATCTTTATCTTCATAAGTTGAAGCTTTCGATGATCGACCACCTCTTTCTCAGTGTTTTTCATGCAGAAGCTGATTGCATCGAGCTGATCCTGATCAAGGGCTACGGCAGTGTCGACGGGATGCTTTAGCGTCAAGGCCTTCGCAACATGATCCTGCATTGACAAGTACCACCCCACCTTGACCGAGCCTTTGGGCGGATCGGAACTCTTAAGGAAACCAGAGGGGGGAACCTTGCTGGAAGCCTCATCCGAAACCCTAGGGAGCTTAGCAGGAGGGTATACCGCTTTATCACTAGCAACCCATCCGTCAGACACAGCTACATTGTCAACTGCATGGCTGTCTTCGGCTGCCTTCTCTCTCCCGCTATCCTCCCCAGCAACCTGAGAGAGAAGGATGCGACAAGAATCGTTCCCACGTGACCTTGCGGAACTCAGGAATCAAAGGAGGGAAGCGGCGATGCTGCCGACCAAGAACAGCAACGGAGCTGGCTGCCAAGTCAGGAGATGCTTGCAAAGACAAACCCATGAAAGAAGCCGCGCTCTCCAGACAGGAGGCCATACGCTTGCAAAGCAGAACTGGGTAAGCCGACACAAGAGAAGATGACAGCTGCATAGAACGCTCATGGAACACGAAGCCCCACGGGCGGTGTGTGTGATTGCCTGGGCAAGTAGCTCGAAGCGAGGTGAACAAGCCTCGAGTGCACAAGAAACGAGTTGACTTCGGTCGATCGGAACCATGACAACACTGGTCGAAATCAAAGTATTCCAAGGCAGCGGGAAGCCAAAGCAAGCCCTCGGCCTCAGCAAAGCATTGAAGAACCTTCCAGAACAACGAATTCCGAGGATTCTCAACGCTGACATTGATACCCGAAGCAGAACAATGAAGGAGAAGCTTGTAGACGAAACGGTACAGGACGTTGTCTTTACGCACTGCAAGGCTCTGCTGAGACGCGGCACTCAATGACGGCAGACCTAACGGGAAGTCATCGGACCGCAGAGGTTTAGGGGCCTTAGAGGCAAGGGCATGGTTCTTTGGCAGGGGGCGCTCGCGAGAGCGAGAAGCCGTGCCCGCAGGGGGCGATGCATGCATGTGAAAAGGAGGGCACTCCTTAATGAGATCCCAAAAGATTGCCTGTGCTGCATCTAAGGTCAGATCAAGCTTGGCTACGGGAGAGACTGCTCGGTAGCAAGAACTGTCTAACCCTAAGACCCGAAAACCCTGCAAGCCTTGCTGAAACGGGCACTGCCAGCGAAAAGCTCGTAAACCCAGGAGTAGTCACAGGAATGGGAAAGGAGAGATCAGGCGGGGGCCTAAACCCGAGATTAAGCAGGGTCCTTGCTGACTCAGTTGAGATTTTCTCAAGGCTCGCGACAGTGAAGGCCACGCAAACCAATCGATCGCCAACCCAGCTTTCAGTCTCGTGAGGGTATTTGAAGGCATCGAAAGTGACAGGGGACTCGAGGCTAAGCATTGGGCCTTTTACGATGTCACCTTTGATTGACCGTGTGTGAGGTCCGCATCCATCTGCAATCCAGATGCCACCTCCCTGAAAAGATGTCACGGCTATGACCCCGTTAGGGGTATGATGGTTCCTGGAATCAACACGCAAATCGGTTTTAGTGTTGTGAAACAGACTGATAGTCGTGAAGAAATGATCTGGCAAGAAAGTGCGAACAAAAGTAGTGAAGAGCTTGACGCAGAATGGAAACAGCGCACATTCACTCCGAAGACCCTGTAATCCACCCTTTGCGTATGCCCCACAACTGAAACTGCTAGGAGGCTGCGAGGAGGCTCCTCTAGAAGGAATCTCCTTGGGCAAAAGATCGAAAATCTGAACAACATCTCGCTTAGTAATCCCTGACCCTCTGGCCAAAATGGCCTGCGCGAGGGCTTCAGCATCACTAGGGGCAGAGTCCGAAGTGGCCACGAGGTCAGGCCCCTGGGGCCTCGCATGGCCCCATCACTGTACCTGATTTGTGCATTCTGAAAAGGGGTGATCCCCAAAACATCGCCAACACTGGTGAAAGCCTCGCGGGCATCTTCCTTTCGTCACCTTGAGCTTGCATGTGCCCAAGTTAAACCCAAAACAATTCGGCCTGCCCTGATGATCTTTGGCCGCGCAGCCATCCGGAATGGTTACACGGGGTGCCTTGCCACCGCCCTTTTCACCGCCCTTGGTGGATGTCTTACCCTTTCCGTCACCTTTGTTAGGCGTGGCAAGCTCCTTGAAAGGGCGCTTAGTTGGGTGAGGTGCAGGAGGAGCTACAAGCGGCTGAAGAAACTGAGTTATCTCCTGGCTACCCGATAGATCGCGCAAAGCTGCATCCATGGGTTTCTCAACACCTATGGGTTTCTGCAATTGTCCTTCAAGCATGTCGGCCAACCGGACAAAAAGCTCACGATCTGCCGTAACAACTTGCACCAAGCTAACTGCCACATATCCCTCCGGCACAGTACGCTGAACTGCTTCGAAGAGCTTGTTGATCCAAGTTTCCATAGCTTCAAAGCTGCACAAGTGACCCAGATCAAATGCTAGTGACCGTCTCTGAAAAGCCTGCCGGAGAGGGTACATGCCTGTGGTGTCGCACGTCGGCTCCGGCTTCTTCTGAATCACCTTTAGGTTGCCCTCGTTGTCCATCTGAACGGCAGAATCCTTCTTCTGGAGAGACATCTCTTGGAAGCGGGATATCCATCTGTTGATCGGAATGTACTTGAGTGTATTATTCTCGTACATGTCAGTCACAAGGTCGATACAGCTATGGGCCGGGGTGGTATGAGAAGTTAGAATGAGACCCGACAGCCTACGATGCTGCGCCTCAATGCGCTCCTTTCTCTCGGCTTGGGGCAGGCGTCGCACTGAGCCTTCCGGCGTGCCTTCGACCCTAGATTTGAGGTCCGCCACATTGAGTGATTGCGACTCGAAAAGCAGCCTACGAATCACCGAGACCTGAAAGGAGCTGGGTGCCGGGGTGACTACGGTGGCTAGCCACGCATCGACAGCTTCGTCTGTTAGGCCCTGCGGCGTCGCCGATGCGGCGAAAGCCAGTTTTCCAAATGTGTTGTAACCAGCATCAATCAAACGACTCAGAAGATCGTTGCTGAGGCCTATTTTACTGCATCTTTCACGGAATGATGCTTCACTGTCTAGTATGACAGAGGACATGGCTCAACCTGCAAGCTACTCGGGCTCGGCCGCCGACACAGAATCGAAGCAGAATGCTTCGGTCGCTGTCTGAGCCAACGGGCACCGGATCCGAGCTTCGACGTATAGCAAAGCCACTGCAAAGCTGACCCTAACATCGTGATTTCAGCAACGTCACTTTGCGCATGTTCGCCAAAACTTCCGGCACCACGGGCCATAGGCCGTAGTGTTGTGTTTCACAGTCCTACATCAGATCTAGCCCGCAACATCTCCAAGAGACAAGGTCTGGGTTTTCGGTATGCCCCGGGCTCGGAGAGCCGGCATCCGCAGTCTGTCACCTCCCACAAGCTCGCCACGGGCCAAAAGCCGGCGATGAATGGAACCGCAATGGTACTGGTACATCCCACCAACGAGCTCGGCCGATTTTTCGTTCGAAAGTATCTGTTCAATCAGCGCCCGACATCGCCCGCCTGCACTGATGGCAGGTGTCCGGATCATCGGCATCGTCTTCCTCGAAGTCCCTGTATCTGTCTGTGAGGGACGCCCACAAAAGAAAGTGCCCTCATCCCTAAGTCGATGAACAATGCCAGACAGGCTATGCACTCGGAGCTCCGCCACGGTGCATTCGAAGGGTGGCCTAAGCTCCCGGCCGGAACGCGGCATCGGCTCATACCCCACAAGGGACTCGGCAGACTCAGAAGACTCCACATCGGCGGCACCCACATGCTGATCTTCAGGAGGAGCGCGAGCCTGTGAAGCCGTCGTGTCGCCGGTGAGCGCCGATGCCACTGCAGCTACTCTGTCCGTGACCTCGGCATCCGGATCGAATTGGTTCTGGCGGATGGTCCTGAACATGGCCAGGATTTTGCCCGACAAGTTGATGTAGAACTGTCGACTATAAATCAGAGTCGAAGAAGGGCCGCCCTTCCTGAGGTGATGTCCCATCAACAACCTCTCCTTGGGGGTAAAAGAAATTATAGGAGACCAGCCGCTCCACGTGATCAAGGTAGTCTTGAAGCTGTGGGTCCCTATCGACTCATTAGGTCCAGGGGCCATGTCCAATGAGAAGATGTCACTGGCCTCCTCTGAGGACATTCGCTCCTGGCCCCAGCATCCCCACTTCTGCGACCAGGAAGGCAGACACCCTCGGTCAAACTGGATGCCTTCTCTCTCGCGTGCCTCCAACCAGAGCTGCGCCCACGGCGTGTTGCTCACCCCAGTTGAGACGCATACGTACGGAAGCAGGCGCGTCTTGGCCTCCACGGTGGTAGACGTCTTCGATCCAAGGGCCTCCGCAATTAGCAATTGGCCTTCTCCATCAGAGGTGAGAGTCAAAGACAGAACGTCTGAGAATCGCTCCAACGACATGATGTGTGTATACAAAAGAGAAATTGCCCGACTACACATCGGGTCCAGTCAGAGCATCTCTCCATCAGAAGCTCCAATGCCTCCACTCGTCGACGACTGAGAGAGTCTCTCTGTCTCAGAGGAGCCTTCTTGAGCTTCAAGTCCTGTGCGACGCCACGCACCCTCGAAGACAAGATGGCTTCCAAGTCCATGTACTTGAAACGAGCAATGGCATGAAAGAACCTCAAAGCCTCCAGGATATGAGAAGCCGTAGAAGCTTTAGCACCATGCTCCCGGAATCCTGAAAAGATCGCGTAGACTTGAGCCTCGTTAAGTCGCCATGGTGAATCCAGCGAAGCATCATAGGACCTCACCACAAAAACCTGCAGCGATAGGGATCTCTTCTGCAAAGTCAAGGACGCCTTTCCCCTGAAAGCGTCTGCCAGGCTCTGCATTATGACTTGGTCATCTTCCATAGCCTTTCCTTGATCAACCAGGCTGCTGCCTAAGGCTGTGGCCTCAGGGTCAATCAAGATCAGCATCTTGAACCTCCTCAAAGAAGAATCCCTTATGTCTGCATCCGATTTCGGCAGCCTCGCTTTGGCCAACCTTCTGGTCACCGTCCGAGGGATGTGGGCGAACACATCAGGCTCAGGATCCCTCTTCTTTGCCATAGACAAAGTTTCGCTCACCCCAACAGAAGTCGAAAGCCTCAAGAAAAATTCAGAGCACTGATCAAGGTGTGAAGGCTTTGAATCCCAGGGCTGACGTGGTAACTCAAACCTCCTTCTCTTGTGAACTGCTGCAGCCACCATTTGAGAAGCGTCCAGCTCAGCCATCGGTCCCTCAAGCCAAGACAGCTTATTGGATTGCGATCCTGGCAAATGTGGCGGAGCAGCAGAAGAGGAAACAGGTATCTCTTCTTCCACGCACTCAAAACTTCCCAAGTCATTGTCTTGAACTTGAGAATACCACTCTCTCTCATCCGCAGAAAAATCCAAAATCTCGGCTTCAGCATAGGTTTCGCGTCCTTCCATACTCAAGAGGTCCGACTGCTGAACATCTGCCATGTCATCCCGAAGCAGACCCTCAAGGTGTCCTTCGAATGGGTCCCCGGCTGTGGCAGGACCATCCTGTATCAGCCCCCAAACATTGTAAGGAGCTTCTGCCGAATCACCCCCTTCCATCTCAGAAGCTTCGAATGGCAGCTGATGGTTCATTGTCTAAGGCTGAGCGCAGAAAAAACAGGCTCGAGGGCGCCAGCTGACACGAAGGAAATAAAAACGATCGGCTGGAGACATGTGGACCCAGACAAGCCGCACAACATCGTAATGTTCGGCACAGTGAAGAAAGCGGCTGGAAGCAGCACGGCCTTCCATGGCTGGACCCACCTCTAGAAAAGTTTTAAAAGCTCAGCTCGAGCAGTCACTTCGTCACAACAAGGATATCATCTGAGATGCGAAGAAGCATGGACATGCGACAAAAATCTGTAAAGCATGCCAAATACTCTTCTTGAGGAATCCACCCAAAAAGGGGGGAAAATTAACTCGCATAAAGTACCGTTGCCAAATGTCAAACACGGCCTGCGGCCTGTCGCCGATTTCAAAGAAAGAAAAGTCTGCAGGCAGAAAAGTTTAAGCTCGAATTTTTCTTACATGGCTGAAAATGCCGTTGTTCGCGCATCAGACTTTTTTTTGGCGTGGGCGGCCTCGTCGACTACGGCTGTAGCACTCGGTCCCTACAAACAAAACAAACCAACAAACAAACAAAGACAGCGGTGAAACAGGGCGGTTCGTTAAAGAGAGGCAAAAGGCTAGCTGCGGCGCACAGGCTTTGCCGGTGTTGGCCGTTCAGCACGAGCTACGGGGCCTCAGCGACCGATCCACAACAGCAAAAGGCCGTCGCCTAGAGCTGTCCAGGCCCACCAGTGGAGCCCAAAGTCGAAGCTCCGGCCGCCGTTCTAGTTCCGTCGAACAACGGTCGGCTCCGGGGTCCTGTTGTGTCACGACCGTGCACACAAAGTCCACAAGTCCCGGTGGAGTTCCCGTCCAGCGGCAATCTTTGAGAAAATACCCTACGACGTATGTCGATGGTCATAACAGACTCATGCCTGCCGGTATGCGGTCCCACACCGTCATTGGGTACAATCCAGTGTCGAGGGTCATGACCAAGAATCCAGCTGGCGCTGCATGTCGTTGCCGCTGGTCGGGAAGTGGGATTCGCGCAACAGGTATTGCGCTGCGCATACAATTCCTGTAGGCGGTGAAAACCATATCGGAGTGTGGCTCATGGAGATGCGGCATCAGCTTTGGTTGCTTGGGCCGATCCCACCCCGTGCAACGAAGGCCTCCGCTTCGTCTCTCCAGTGGTCCTGGCCCCAAGGGTCTCCTAGCCGAAACCAAGCGCGACTTCCATCGGGCAGGGTCTTCTCGTTGGACTCTTGGGCCACCAAGTGGTGAATGAGAACCTTGGCCCTCGTATCCCACGCGTCGAAATGGGCGTGGCGCCGGGAAATAGAAGTCCTTTTTCTGTGGGCCTCTCAGCCAATAAACTACCACCGCGCTAGATCCCAAGCAGAGGTGGTAGCAGCCGCCCGAAGGCGCCACAGGGCAGCGTGCAGGAGGCCAGCGGACTGGATGGGAAGCGTGGGCGGCGCTTGCAGCCCCAAGGGGACATCGTCCAACGGGAGCAGGAGTCTGAAGGTTCCCTTGCACACGCCCGGGTATGAAAACATTTGAGGGTCGAAATCACCACGCCTAGCTGGGTTAGCTGGGAGAAGCCCACGATGGAAGCCTTCCATCAGCCGTGCGGCAATAGCGATTTGGGGCCGCCCCACAAGGGAGGCAGGCACTTCCGCCTTAACCCGTATCTCAAGGAAATGCAAGTCATTCTGCCAGACTAGGAGAAATTCGCACGAGTTGTAGCAGAGGGGCAGCGTCAGGTTCATCTACCAAAGCCCGTGCAAGGAAGAACAGCAACTGCACCGGCAACAGCACACCACAATGGAGCAAGGGGGTGCCCTGATTCGGATCCATGCTCGAGCCTCCCTCCGTTGCTCGCCGGACGCCTGATCCCGTGCCGCGGCGCTTGCCCGTGGGTAAGGGGGGTCTCTTGGGCGCCAGAGACATTTGGATAAGACTACCATCTCGGACTGCTGACTTATGACCTGCCTTAGCACTGGGGAGCGCAAACTTAAGACCATCGAGCTCGTCCAAGAAAAACCACCACCAGATCTCCGGGCGAGCCAACTCGTACCACGAAAGGTCGAAGACACGCCCTTCAGGTAACCGCAATATACAGGGTCGCAAAACTGCGCCAGCGCAATGGAAACTGCAAGCAGGGGAGTGAGGCACACGCGGAAAGATTCACTTTCCGTACAGTGACGAAGCATTAGCGCACGATCTGCAAAATCGACAACCCTGGCTCCGAAATTCTGAGGGCTGACCTTAACTTCGCACGCCGGCAAGGAGAGAGGCAGCGAGAGAAGGGAAAGGCAGTCCGTCCGGTTGGGGAGCAGTTGGTGCAGCTCAGCCGCGCTTGCAGGGCCGTCAATTGGCGACTGCTGCCTGCCCTTGGTCTGGTAGCTGCGGAGGATGTCGTGCTGCTCCGCGAAGTCATCCTCATCGTCAGACAAAACGCAGTTGCTGGAAATGGCTGCGACGCCGGGTAGCAAT